GATAAATTAAATCGCTGACTTAAATGCTGTTTAAATTATCATTGAATATGATATTAAGACGTTGGTATGCGCTGATGTTTGTTTTGTTGATGGAGATTTTTATGTGAAAGGCTTATTGGGTATCTTTAAAAAGGGCAGACAGACCCGGTACATTGAGAACCACATCGTGAATGTTACATCAGTTTGACGGAGCTGAGAAGTTCCATACCGAAAGGTTTTAAGAGATATGGTTCACCCTCATACCGGACGGGATATCAAAGCGATGAAATGTTTGGCACCAATTATCGAATAGGGTATAGGAACGGCCGGTTAATTGATAAAATTAGATATTTGGTTCACGCGTAGAGGGACATCCCTACGGACCCCCAGGGGTACTAGTAAATAAGTAAAAAAAAAAGAAGAATTGTGATCATATAAATAAAATTAAAATATTATTTAGTTATTTGTCTTCATAGGTTGATTTTGGAGAAAATGTAACAGTATGTATCGAATAAAAAGTTTTGGAATTAAATATATTTACTTGAAGCAAGGGCTCCATTAGTTGTTTTTTGATTTTACAAACCTTCGTTTTTCTGTATATGTAATTAGTGTGATACTCTTACTGGGCTATTGTAACTCACAATTTCATTAACCATTTCAGATCAAGAATACCAACATCTAGATCCCAATCAGCAAGAGGGTTATGAGTAGTTCACCACCCGGACTCCCTTCAAGTGCTAGTGAAAGTTATCCTAAAATGCTTATTTATTCATTTTTTTTTTTAATTACTATTTGTCTTTTAGAATGGACATTCTCGTAACTCTATTGGGCATTCCAAATTATTGTGTAAGAAATGTAAATCTTAATTTTATTGCATGCTTTCGCATTTAAATTATAAATTCATTTTCTTTAAGTTTCGGACCTTACAGTTGGTATCAAAGTCACGTTCCTAAGAATCATTCCTTACACAGAGACTTAAAAATACTAAATACAAACTATCGTTCAACTCTTCCTTGTAAATGTATGTACAAGGATATGATGAGAGAAAGATCCCCTACTAAACCGAGTAGCTTGGGATGGTTTACTTTGAGAGGATATTGACTGACTATTTGAGATGCTGAAGAGACTCATCTCTGCTCTGGGAGAAAAGGAGAGAGATGTCTGACCCTCTCCCGCTGCCACCATTTGAGTCACCCTTGCAGCGAAAAAATCTGGAGCCATCCCGGTACAACTCTGCTCCTCCACCATATCATTCGGCATCGCCATAGGGCCATTCAGTCCCTTCATAACACAATCTAATCCCTCTTATACGAAATCTAGTTCTACCCATGATGGACTCAGACTACATTGAAATGTACAAAAGACTAAACTTATCTATCTTTGTAGGGGCATCCTCTTTCGAAGAGGTCGAGTATTGGTTAGCTGAGACAAATAAGGCATTCGCGACTCTTGGGATGGTTCCTGAACAGAATGTCGTACTTGCCACCTACATGCTTGTAGGTGAGGCAGGTTACTGGTAGCAACTCAATCAGGCTACCGTGCCCATTTCAGCCACTTGGGAACAGTTCCTGATGGCCTTCAATGCAGAGTACCTCCTAAAGCACCTCTGGCATTTAAAAGAAATAAAATTTGCACACCTAGTTCAGGGTGATATAACTGTGTCGAAGTATGCTCGAAGGTTCCTAAAATTAGGTCGGTATTTCTCTGATAGCATGATGGAAGAAGGCAGGAAGGCAAGGAAGTTCGAGTGGGGCCTCCGTCCTAAAATCAAACAGCAACTGTACATATTTGAGCTCAATACCTAATCAGTCGTTCTTACCAAGACACAATTAGTGGAGATGAACCTTCACATCTTTCCTCCAGCAGTAGGGAATTCCATACTCCCAATTTCACACTGTAGACCAGCACCCACTGCACCAGTTTAGTAAAACAAGAGGTATAGGCCAGTGACTCAATTTCCTCCTCAAGGTCCCGTAATAGGATGCAGTAGGACTTACCAATACTATGGCAATAATAATGGGGATCGACTCTACTATCGTC